GGATCCAGCGTTGGATGTTAATTTCAATCACACAATTTGGTTAAAAAGTAAATGACTCACTCACTTGCTGGTTATTATGTAATATAATGGACCATTACGGGGCAATAACAAGAAGAAAGGGGAATCTGGACCCAACTTTATGGCTCTATCTACTTGTAGCAAATTATCACGTCTAACTTTATCATAAACTTCTTTGTTGACTGTAAGCCTTTTCCACTGTTCAGCAAGGAAATATGTGTAAGGAGAATGCATAAATCGTGTAAGTAAGGATTCTTCGCTTACTTGGTTAACATGAAATGTTTGTGCTGGCATTGTAAGCGCAGAATATTGATTGTAAATGCAGAATTATGTGGTTAGCAGAGCTATGAATTCCGGCCCTCATTTGTAAATTCTCCTTTTTTTGTATAATGGGACATTTACATGGGAGGATTTTCAGCAGGAAATCCTGATATACGTGAAGCTCTTCCAAAGCCATTGGTGTACACATACTGGTATTTTATCATTCCGTCTTACAGTAATTATATCTTTGGTGCAAGACTCAACCACAAGTGTGCAACATGAGTCGTATCAGGAAAATGACGGTAGGTCAAACCACACCATACCCTATCATACAACTCCACGATGAGATGGTAGGCAGCCTCATCGGAGCCAAACTGCATGTCCACCACTCGATCCATGCCCAGCTGATGCAACTGGTTCAGGCGACGGCTCTTCAAGTGCTTCCGAAGCTTCATGCTGAAGTTGGACGGCATGTTGGACTTAGGCCAGTCAAAGTCTGTGCTGTTGATGCGGATGCCAGACTCAATCAGGAGCATTTCTTTCTTGTCAGTGCTGGTTTGATAAGAATGAGATGAATTTTCAGATGAAATAACTATTGAATTTCATATGGAAAATAAACAACTCCGTGAATGGACTCCTACAAACCTCTGAATGGCTTTTCTTTTAAAGAAGATTTATGAAATTGAGCTTAATCCCAAAACACAAAATGGACAGGCTTTGGTGACACTGATTCTAATCGCATTTAAGAGACATACATGTAGGTATTTGGAATCAACTTTGAAATTTCCGTGGTCACTTGAAATACGAAAACTCTGAACTGTATCAATGAGTGTTCATGAGTGGTGAGGTACATGTAACTACTCTCGTCAACATGATCATCTGCAACTCTAAACTCAATCTTGAAAAACCCTGTTATTTTTCAGGTACTGTACACACCTACCTGTATAAAAAAGCCTAACAGGAATGAAATGGCCATTTTTTACATTTGAATTTGACTCACAATTTAGAACATGGTCAATCGTGACGAAAATAATTTACTTATAAATAGCTGCTCTCATTCAGGTCCAAGTATTAAACTATTTTCCTCAGCAAATCTTTACTTATCTAACCCTTGTAATTTGATGAGGTATGTCTTGTTGTTGATGTCATATATGTTGATGACCCGCAGACCCATCAGCCTACATCGAAAACACAACCAAAACTTAAGTGAGCTCAACTGTGATAAATTGTAAACACTTTATTGATGGACAGTTGAAAACAAAAACATGAACACTCATCACATTCCTTGCATGGCTGTAATTGTTTGTTACCATTTCCCCAAACAGTGGCAAACCCAAAGACTGCAGTGAATTTACATACTAATATATTCACATGTAAATGTTTAAATTTACATCACCACTGCCAAATACTGACTCAGGGTGAGCTGAATCTCAAGCAAGATACTGAAATATAGCAGTTTTTTTGGTGCTTCTCAAGTATCCAGTTTCCCTTCTATTTTAAACCGTTTGCCTCTGTAGAGGTAGACAGAGGAAGGTGACTTGGTTGTTCTAGATCTTTGATGTAAACTTGAGCATTAGGCGAGTTCACTGGCTTGGTCTTCACTACCATCAAATATTATTAAGACATTGTCTTTATATCTCACGTAACTCACAACTGAAGGACTGTCTGAAGGATGATTTCTTTATTATATTTGAACAGGGCTTTGTTGCGTATTTGTCTGCCAGACCAACTTTCTGGCTGAAACACCACTGAACTCAAGTATGTGTAGATGCATGATGCATGTAAGTTCCATCAGAAAGCATGCATATTCTCTTGTTGGTTTGAATATTGTATACAGTCTGGTGTTAGCTTCTTCAAGTGCATAGCAAACTGACTCAATTGCTTCATCTTGTGGGTAGTTTGTATACACAGAACCAATATCAATGTGATTTGCTTCACTGTCACGTTATTTTGTTTTACAAGCACATGCCCAGAATCGCTTGTATATATGCGCTTTGTTTAACAAGCAAGGAGTAATCTATGTTATTTTGAAATCGTTTGAGTTTGGCTTCCACAACCACTGATAATGGGCTAATATTTAGGCACAATTTAAAAGAGTTTATTGTGCACTTCCAAAAAAAAAAAAAAAAAAGGAAATCAGTCAAAACAGAATTTTACTGGCACTTTGCAGCAGGTAAGCCCATATTATCGCAAAAGTTATGAATGGGAATGGTGAGAACTTGATGAAATTTCACTAATTGTGAAATCTGAGGTAAAATACTGCTCTATGAAGGCACCAGAGGCCAACAAAAGAATGCCAAGTAAGGGGCTGTGCCAGGTTAGGGTACATCAATAATAACTGTAATTATTTTAAAATTACACCCACCTCACTCCCAACTCAGATATGGCGGCCCGCAGGTCTATTGTTGTGTACCTAGACTTCATGGCTGTTATACAGGGACTCACTTTTTGTTAATTAACCTGCAAATAATGAGACAAATAGCAATTGTTTGGTGAATGTACCCATGCACAACATTTACACGTAATGGTAGTCATCACCAACACTGCTTCATCAGAAGGCCCAAAGTATTTTTGGGAATACAGTACATCAAGTCAAAAAGAAAGACAACACTGGGACTATGACTCTTCAAGTAGTCGACAAAACCATAACAGATGACCTCGGCAAGACGGCAACTCTCATTAACTGATTTGAAAGTGTATTCACTAGAGATGATGGAGAAGTACCACCCAGCCCACACCCTGATACACCTGATATTGTGACCTGCATTAGGAAACTGCTGGAGAACATCGCCATACTAACAAAACTGGGAGGGCAAATAAGGCACTTGAACTGGTCACAAATGAGGCAGCAAGAATGATCACCATCATCTTCCAACAAACAGTAAACCTACGGAAATCACAGGAAGACTGGCACTGAGCCAAGATTTGATGATTTTCAACAAAGGATCAAAACATGGGGGCCACAACAGACAGCTGATATACATACATATCCCAGCGCAGTTAGTACAACAGTCTCTGACATGTATGACACGCCTGAATCACTCGATATACATGTGGAATACGTGACCCCACGCCCCAAGCAAATTTCCTGTTCCGTTGCCATGTTAATTTTAGGCTTTTTAGCATCCCATGCGAGTAAGTGAACAAAGCTAGTGGGGAACAAACTGTCTACAACAAAAACAATTGCAAGCATCCATTAACTAAATGTTATGCAACATTATTGTTCTTGTGAATTTGTTCTTCTCTGTTAAATCTTCTGAGCATGTGCATATGAAATGTTAATAAGGCTCATCATGTTCATTAATGTTCATGTTATTACCAGTACTATTAGTTTGAGCAACAATCTTAATAGCACGTCTAATTTCAAATTATTATTCAGCAACATACCACCCTCATCAAGCTTCCAGTTATTCTCGCAATTGGGATGATGTCACTGATTCTTGATTCTTCTGATTGGTGCCTATCCTACATGCATATTTAACACTCGAAACTCAAACGGGCAAAAATGTTGCGGTCTAAGGGGAAAATCTGAATTATTAACTGAACTCTTAACCTTTACATCAAATGTATCTGAAATTTCACTATTTATGCGCTATGAATATCTCCAAGAAGTCAAACATTAACACTGTATCTGCCGAAAAGGCTGCAGGACTATGGTAGGACCTACATGTATGATGTGGGCCAACAAAGTGAATGGAGAATTTCCCTCAACATGCTTAATCCCCCTTGTCATGCCTTTAAGCTTTGCCTCGACGCGAGTGCAATAAATTGAACCTCCCAACGCGAGGATAATCAGGCGATACCAACAAATTGTACAACTAGCTGAGTAGTACCATTTCCTACCTTCATCGCAATAACTTGTTCAACATGTAGGCCTACTAGAGGCTACACAACGAACTAGAAATTGATAACTTACGTATATTATTTTGTAATGTAGGTATCATCACATCCCTCAAATACCAAAGTAAAGCGCCCTCAAGCGGTACTATTTGCACGCGTTTTCACTTGTGCTCGACGGTCTGTTTTCGAGGCTTTTGGAAAATTCCTCCTAAATTCTCCACTGGGAAGATTAACAAGGAGCCTTTAAAAGAGTGAAAACTAATTTGATTTAAGAGTGTTACTGCAATGAAGTTGTTTATAGTTGCGGCTGAAAACTGCCGACAAAGGTGAATCAATGACGGTGACTTAACGGAGTGTTCAAATGCTGAAGATAAAATAATTATGGGATCTTTCAAATTGTGTGCTGTTCCCCCTCCGTGACCCCTTAGTTTTAGGTATCAAGACGTAACTACTATCTGCTATGATGATTTGACGGCTAACTTTAAACAAGGCTATGCAACTGTTGTGATCTTGTGGGTATCACGTCTCAACTGGAGGGGACGGTCCCAGTTAAAGTTGCCAGCATATTTGTCATCTACTGTTTCGTTTTGTGTTTCGCCGGTGGTCTGCTTGGATTATAGTAGGGGGCAGGGGCAACGAACAAGAAACAGTCAGAATTAGGGCTATTAACGCTGCGGCGTTAGCATGCCTGGAAAGCTAAAAAGGTAACGCCGTGCCCACTGGAGACCGACACAACAATTATATCTGCTTCACTTAAGCAAAATTTAATATTCCAAGCAACATTTTTCTCAGTCTTCCAGACCGTGAATTTTAAGTTTTATCTTGCATAGGCTTAATGGTTTTACTTGCTCCGCTTCAAACCACTCCCAAACTCAATTCCCTTCAACCTACTCACCAATATATCACTGGCTGTAATTTGGGTCACCGTTTTCGCCTATTGTTTTAAAGTTGATCAATTTCATTACAGGCCTTCTCCCCCAACATTTAGATCATTAAAGCCACGTTGTCACAAACTCTGAAAGGATGTAAAACGCCCATTACCAGTAAAATTGTGAAGTATTGATCCAATTTAATCCAACTCGTGGTTTTGTTATTTGAAGTTTATGGTTACACGCTTGTTAGCCAGTATAGAATGATCGAGCACACCAATGAAAAAAACACAGATTTTGGGCTGGCCTTTCCTTTGTAAGTGGGCTTTTCGTGAGAACAGTATGTCTGATTTTCACAAATCATTGTCGAAATGACTGGAAGGCGTTAGGTTCCGGCAAAAAAAGTCGACGGTTTAATTCTGGTCAGCGCGATCGTCGCCGTAGACCTGCGCGTCGGCAAAATAAAAAAGTTTTTTATTTTGTATAAAACAATGTCCAAAAGCTGCAAAACTTGCTTAATAGTCTGCAATCCTGCTACTGCGTAATTTTAATGTGTTTCTGATGGGAGACGGTTGAGTAATATGTACAGTAAAGGAGTCCCCTCTAGTTCCCCATACATTTAGTTGGACATTCTTTTTCAGTTGACGTCATTTCTGTAATGCGCAAAAATGTACAAGCTGAAAATGCTTTAAACAGTAATAATAGTTGTGGGGGTATGGGCGGCCAAAAGGGGCCAAGTTAGTTTGTTTAAGAATTTTCTATTGATTCGCGTTGAGTTTGTTTGTTAAAAAAACCCGGGCGGCCAAAAGGGCCAAAATCGGCCAAAATTATTTTTACCAAAAATAAAGTATTAAACATCGGAACCAAATTTGTTTCATATTTCATCAATCATTTTTCAAATGATTTGCGTTTAGCTTCGTGTGAAAAAATGAAGTAAACTGCTGGCAATCTTTGGTTTGGACTTTAAAAAAAATTATTTCGTATTTTGATTTATTGTTTTCATTTTGGGAACTTTGGGGGGCATATTGTTTTCAGATGTTGGTTTTTTATTTTTTAAATTAATTATGTTATAAATTTTTTAGAGTTTGTTTTTGTTTAACATTTACATTTTGATAAGAAAATGTTGTTCAACCGTGATTATTCATTTTTGGTGAAATTATTTTTTGTGACATGTAACTTTCATTTTTTTAATTAAAATTTTTAATAATTTGTTTCTCAAATGATTTTGGTGCTTGGTTTGTGTTTTATTACTTAGATTTTTGAATAAGAAGATTCCCTTTGCTCGTAATTGTTTATTTTTGTTAAAATTAATTTTGGGTCTTTTGGCCGCCCATATGGGGGCCAGTCTAGTTAGTGTTAGGAGCTGCCGGTTTTACGTGCGCACGCAGTCGCGAAAGACATCGCACGTACATCATTTCCAGAAAACAAAGTGAGTTAAAAAAAGTCGCGTCGCCACACCACTTTTGGAGCCAGCTCATGACCAGAAACAGGGGGGGGGGGCTTTTTTGGGGGGGCTAACTAGAAAAACTTGAATGCCGGGAACGTGAAATCCATTGCACTATAGATTGGTATAGGAGAGAATGACGAAGGGGGAGGGATGGATTTAAGCCCCGGCTCTTTTAGGGGTTGAAAATATCCAATACAAATTTGGGCCCCTTTTAAATGCATTTTCTTAACATAGCAAAAATTGTGAAACTTCAGGTTAGAAGGCGCGAATAGACGTATATTAGCAGAAAAAAGGCAAATATCGGTTCGAAATTCTCAGCTTTTTCAATTCATTTTTCTCAGACCAGCAAAATCTCAAGTTTGTCTGTAACCAACGAACTAGCGATGATTATTTTGTCCCCCCCCATTTTTCATCGTCCAAACAAAAGACCTTTTGGTATTAATTCTTGGACAAAGTTTATCGTGGAGACTTGGTTCAAGAGAAGAGGCTAGATGAATACCTTTTGTTCAACGAAAGCTGATATCTTGACAACAACATCTCGTCAGAAACGCAACTTGAACTATAATACGGAGATTACAGGTCGAAGGAGCTCTTGCTTCATCTACCAATCGTCCGACTCGTCCCACATAATGACAACGACTTTGTAAACCTGTAAGGTCACACTTACTGTACACCTTCAGAAACAAAATAGGTTGCTAATAGCCATGGAACCTTTCAGAGATTCTCAAGACGCCCATCAGAAGACCCGACTCAAGTGAAAGTTAATAAGAGTCGAATCCTAAAAATAAAAGCAAACCTCACTGCGAAAAAAATATTTGCATTGACTTCCAGTGCCGGTTTGTAATGTTTATGTTATGTATTATCATCAAAAGCAAGATGTAGTGTGACCCCATGTAGAAATTTACCCAGATTTGAAAATGCAAGAGAAGTACTCTCTTCTTTTTATTCATCGTAATGTGTTCAATTTAGGGTGACTCGAATCGACTTGAGCTAAATACGTGACTCGAGTCGATTTTTTTTGCCCAAATGATTCGACTCGTGTCACTACGCTATTACAAGACCAACACATGACCTCCAGTCTGAATTCAAATTACGAGCTATTCAAATGAAATATGCGACAAAAGCATTCCTTTGTCATTGTTCACGTTGTTTCTTGTGACAAGTCTGTATATGAATAGTCTTTGTTTCTGGTCTTGTGAAAGGTCTTGTAATGGTCTCGACTTCAACACTGGTATCCTTAAGGCTTTTGCCTTTAGATGAAGCCGGATCGGTTTTCTAAAGGTGAGATTTCGAAAACTAAAATCTTTATCCGTACAAAGTGGACATCTGACTTTGAAACGGTCTCCGTTTGTGTTTTGGCTGCGCAGTAAAAGACTGCATAGGAGACCAACGGCTGTACATTTATGATAATGAAAAGTAACGTGGCGAAACTATTGTTACCCAAAGGAACATGCATTGAAAACAAACTCAGAACACAAAAATAATTTCAGTTTGTATTTTGTGTGCACAAAATCAGTTCGTGCGCTCGTAATAACTTATGTCGTATGCTCGAAATCATTTCGTTTGCTTGAAATAAATTATTTTGTTTGCTCGAAATCATTTATTTCGTTTGCTCGAAATCATTTCGTGCGCTCGAAATATATTATTTCTAGAGTTCATTGATGGAATGTGGGAAGATCTGGCAGCTTATGCATGCCCTAGGGCTTGGTTAAGGCAGAAGAATCTTTGCTAAATTCATCGAAAACAAGCTACTTCTTCAGGATAACAAGCTACTTCTGTTTGTCAAACAAGGGGGACAAAATTCAAGTTTAGTTCAGTTTATTTGTTTCCATATCTTAAATGTAAATGAAATAATCACATGAATTTAATATCAAAATAACAGAGAAGAAAATTCTTGTCAAGATCTGGAACCCATTTCTAATTATTTAACAAGTTACACTCTGTTAAACAGCTGCGTTGGTCAGTGTTTTAAATTCCGAGCAGACCCTGTGGCATCCCCGTCAAAATAGTTTCAATTGATAAGACGCGTTTCACTGTTTTGTACAATGACTGATTTTCGTACACTAAAAAAAAAAAAAGCAAATCAAAACTCAATGAGGAAGGGGTTCAAATTGTAAATTACTTCAAGTGTATGTTGCTTGCTTTAAAGGTGCATCTTCTTTAGTATATGACTGCAGTACATTGTTGAGTGTTTACCTGTTCATTAACTTGGAACTAGTTTCTTTTTGCTTTTTGTATACATGTACTTAATGGCATACATGAGATTGTTGTTTTTATTTCATATTTATTTTTCACTAACCTTCAAATTCACAACAAGTAGCCAGCAGTTGGATTCGAACCCCGGACGCTATGCTTGCTTCCACAAGCCCTGACTATATGCCACATGCTTCCATGCCTAAATCGCTTTGTGCATGGGCAAATCATGTTTAAATGCATTCTATAACAGACATCTTGAAAATGGAGTTTCTCAATTTGGGAACCAAAAAGGAAATTAAGCTCATTTAGTTAATGAAATAAGTACATATTTACATGTCAACTGCCAGACATATCCTCTTTTGAAGGAAAATTGCTGCCTGCCCTATTCAAAGTGTCCACTGTCGAGTGAATCCTGTTCGCTTACTGGTAATTTAATTTCTGGTAATTTATTTCGAGCGTGCGAAATGATTTCGAGGTAACGAAATGATTTCGAGCAAACGAAATGATTTTGCGCACACGAAAGAATTTATTACGAGCCCACGAAATTATTTGGAGTGCACGAAATACAAACTGAA